AATAAGATTATTTAAGTGAATATTTAACTGGTATTATGTATTTCAAAAGACACTAAATCTCCTGGCTCTTCCTTTTAACTAAGTGTTTTGGTAGTTATAAAATTAGTATTAATACAAATATGTCTTCAATTTGTTTTTATAATCATTAAGTTACATGAAAGATCATCTAAAAAGAAAATTGTGACTCTGATGTTCAATATTAACTTAGTAAAGATTAAACACAATTAAGGATCAAATCTAATTTATGGGTATACGTTAGTGCATGATTATTATTTTGGAAGATCAAAAGATTAAGTCTATACAAACGCTCCAGAGAGTAAATTATTTTATATTTTCTGTAGCTTGCTAAGTGAAAAGAAAATATTATATTGTTTGTATTTACATTATTTGTAATATAAAAGTGATTTTGCTAACCAGGAAAATAAATAACTGTATGTGTTAACTATATATGTTATTGGTCAAGTTGTTTTAAAGCATTCTCTAAAAACTGCTATAATAATAATAATGCATCACTGGTCTTTAAATAAGTAATTTTTTAATATTTGAAAACCCAAATTAACTCAGCACCAATAATGTACTTAAAAGAGGAAAGCAATATGAACATATTTTAATGTTTGCTACTTTATGACAAGGATATGTCAGGTTTTATACTTACAGAATATGTTAACATTTAAAATCCTTTTTAATTCTAAGAACTACAGTGGTTCTCATAATGGTAAATTGTTGTGGTTAACATGGTATGCAAACAACAACAAAAAGTATGGGATCTACAGTAATTATAATATAGAGACTCTTTTTATTTTCATTGACATGAAGGAAGTACTGTACATCACCTTTGGTATTTGGCCTAACTTTTCTATGAATTCAAAAGGGGTATTTAGTAGACAGCAAATGTTAAATATACTACCAATATAAATTGTCTCTATTTGTTTTGCTTTTAGTAACACAGAAATAGAAATTTTAACACAGAAGACTACTTCCTTATATATGTTCAGTGAATCACTCTAAAACACCACGTGAGATTTTCTAGGAAAGCAATGTTCCATCCTCAACGTAGAAAATAAATAAGCAGAGAAGCCGTCTTTGCTAAGAAAACGAAGTTGAGATGTTAAATCTGTCTGATTTCAAAATTTCCAAATTTCTCACTAAATCTATTCTCTCTCTTTTACTTTCCAGACATAATATCAGAATTGTATTAGCTTGCAAGTCTTATTAGAAAGCTAGTTTAAAATACAGTGTCATTTAGAACCTTCTATCCTACGAAAGTCTCCTCACAAAATATTACCTATCAATCAGCCTAATTGAGATCATACACCAATGAGTACTTGATGAACATTAGTGGCAGATTGTTTTTAATGGCACCGGTAAACTAGCTCTCAACTATGTTTTTGCAAGCTCTACACACAATAATTTTTAACACTTTAAATGTGTCATCATAAACGGTACAGTGGCTATGTTGGAAAATGCTATTCAAGGATGAAGCACCATGATATCTGTAGCTTACTTTGAAGTGATTTAGTAGGGAAAAAAATACACATTAAAAATAAGCACACATATGGGTAGAGTGAGATGTAAAGCAAATATAGGAAAATAACAGTTGTTGGATGTAGATGATGTGAATATGAATATTCATTTACTTCTCTTTCAACTTTTATATTTGCAAAGTTTATGTTTTAAAATATTTTTAAATAGCAATTTTATACTCTATTGGGTTATCTTTAAAAGTGGCCGAATATTTCTTATTTTAAAAATATATGTAGTCTAAAAACATAAATAGAACCAAGACTGTTAATTTTCTTAGAAATTGTTTTTCATAGTTTATTAAGTGTTCTATATTTTCAATTTTCTTTACATTAAAAACTAAAGCTTTCCATCTGAGCTGGCTATGAATAATTAATAATAGTAATTAAACTCAAGAAAACATGAACTCAAGAAGACTCACATAGGTCTTTACACAGTATACTCCATATATTCTGGACTTTGCCCGACATCCTTGTTACTAGACACTAATTCCATTCACCTACCCTCTTGAAAATAACCAGAGAGTAAGGCTTGTCATACTTAACACTTATTTCAAAGCCTGAGGATACTCATAACTTATAAGAAAAATCTTTTTTAAATGTGTAAAGTAAAGCTAACAGGGTATGTGTGTCTTACAGAAAATCATGAACTGATTAGTTTTGTTTTGTTTTGTTTTGGAGCGAGGGTTTAATGAAGAGCTATAGAAGCTTCACTGAACCTCAGAGACCCAGAAAAACTAAGGGAATTTTCAGAATTTAATCACAGTATCTTCTCGCTCACCTCTCCAGATTTTCAGAACATATAGTGGGCATACAAAAGTCAGTAAAAAGCACCAAGGCATGTACCACCTGCCTCTAAAATCATCCAGTTTTCCTATATGCCCTGTTGCAACCACTTATTAAAACAAGGTTACTAAATAAGTCTAATCATTGTTGCTTTTGTTAGATAATAACTTATTTTTCTAGGCATATTTTAACTTCAGCAATAAATCAGGAAATTAGAAAATTAATGAGCTTACGAATGTTGCCTCTACCAAAACATCACAACCTCATTTGACCAAGGCTTATTTAAAATCTCTACTTTCATAACATGAAAATCCCTTTAAAATATATGCTATTAAAACATTTAAATTTGGAAAACATCTGGCATGTCAAACTATTTGGGAGCTTGTGGTTTTAAGTACTTTGTTTGAGGTGGTGTATTTAGAAAGAATTCACTTGTCATTCTCAGGCTTCATAGGGAAGTAGCCCTAAAAAACAAATGTATGTGGTAGTTCACTACAACCATGGAGAATCAATAGCCATCTATTTAATTTGCTAAGACAATGTAAATTAGTAACTTCCAGCCAGATGTGTGATATGCACATCAAACAAACTGCAACCTGTTCATTATGAAAATCCTGTCAACATACACAGAGCCACTTGATGACATTTCATCTAAAGCAATTTCCACATTTGCAGATATAAAAATTGTCCTAAGAATTTTCATACAAGAAACTGAAGCTGAGACTCATAAAAGGGTAATCAATTTCAGCTTTTCATATTGTGTGCTGTGTATATATGCTTCTGTGTGTTTATTTCCATTTTCATTCAGAGGTATAAAATGTTTTAATGTGCACCATGCTCTTTTTCCTTCTATTAATCATTTATTTATCCTCATTACATCTTTTTAAATTTGATGTAAAGTTGATCCTCTAATTCTACAGTTCTGAAGGAGTATGTAAAGTCAGGAATGACACAATCAACAGAAGAAAAAATGTACACTTATCTACTGGAAAACAAAACAGAATATTTCAAAATGACTCCAAACATAAATTAAGTTTACCCATTGGGAGGTCTAACTTGCATTTGGGTCATTTATATGGGTCTGTGTGACTATATACCCTGCTGTTTGATAGAAAATGATTACTAACCACAGGCACCCACCAGAGAACAGAGTGTATGTGTAACGCTTGTGATGTCTCAGACATACAAAGTACCTTCTTAAAGAATGTCCGTTTCCTTTCCATAGTAAGCAGACGTAATTTTTCACCCTTTAATACTACTGCTTCACAGAGTGGCCTATTTTATGAATTATGCTTTGCCATTCTCTCTTGCATTTATTTTAATAATATGAACAACTGTATTCATAAAATTGATGGTTTTGTTTCATGAAACCCAAAATATTGGTAAATTTTCTGTTTTGTATTAAAATATACAGCCTTCTTGATATTACAAGAATTATATAATATTAATACTGTTTACTAAGATGAAAAAAAGTAAAAGATTATTCTTAATTGTCAGCTACTATTCTTGAATGTTGAATCCTCATCTAAGCCAAATTCATTTTCTAAGTCTATTGAATTAAACTTTCTTATTAAACAAGACACAGAATAAATAGTCTTACTGCCAAGCATAATATTTCCAACTACTACATTTTTAATTTGGCAATTTAAAACAACGTGAAATGAATCTAGTCCTCATCACCTATAGTATAGTCTGATTCCAAATAGCACCCCTTCACCAACTTCCTAATGTCTAAATAGCATTCTACTAAGTGCCTGGTGTGTCAACACTTCCAACTTCCAAAGTAAACAACCTATGAGATTCCCTAAAATCACAAGAATTTCAACCTCTACCAAAAAAAAGGTGGGGGGAGCGCAACTGCACACACAAAAGAGTTCTTCATAAAGGCTTCAACCCTAAGCAACTGAACTTTCACAAACATTATACAGAACGTGCTTTCTTCACCAGCCACACACCAGGCCACGTGATCAACCTGCAGGGCCACACTGGTAATCAGAAACTATTATTGTTTCTAGCAAGAATAAGGCTGAAATGTAGGCCTCTGCAGCCTCACTGTCAGTCGCACCCGCAGGTGGCACCCAGAGCTCCGCTCCTCACTCAGTGAAGCAATTACACCCCGCGCGGGGCCTGGGCACCGGCCAAGACTTGCAGCGTTCGCTGGGGTCCCTTAGCTTTCTGCGAGTTAAAGTCAGATCCTCCTGGTCACTTAAGCCCCCTTTGTGGTTCAGGGGGAAAACCACTCTCTCAGAACTCTTAACTTTGATTGGAGACTCTGGTTAAAATTAAGAACTTCAAATCCCAGATTTGAAAAAATGAAACAGATGTCCTGTTTAACGATAAATGCCTCCGTACGTCGGATCCTTTCCTCTCTCTCTCTTTTTCTTTCTGCCGCATTAAGTTTTATTTAATGCAGAGTTCGCTTAAAAGGTTAAGAAAGAAAAAGAAAGAGAAGAAAGCAAATATGGACTGTGATGGAAAAACTCCTAAATCTTTCTCTAGAATATAACGAAGAAAGCCTCTTCAAAAAGATGAAAGTGTTCGACCTGCCTCCTCTTGGCGCAGCCAGCACTCGAGGGTCAAAACGGCATTCCCAGTGGCCCGAGCCTTGTCTAACCCGGCTGCGCCGCCACCCCGCACTCTCGCAGAGAGCAGGGTGGCCTGGAGTGGGTGAAGGGGTCTCAGTCTTGCACTCACGTGAGGACATAGTTGACGCTGACGATACAGTGTGGCCTGGAGGAGCGGCTGTTGTGCACGATGGTCGCGTAGCTCTGCACCCATACCCAGCCTCCGTGTTTCGCCAGGAACCTGTAGTACTTGGTGGTCACCTGTCCCTTCACCAGCACTGACGGAGAGACAGGAGGCAGATGGTGGTGAACTAGCCTGCTCGGGACTAGTCCCAAATGCAATCCCTGGTGGTGAGAATTGAGGGCCCCCTGTGGGTCCTAATAACCTCACCAGGCAGGAAAAGGAGAGGACAGGCAAATTCCCAAAAGAATTGATTGTCTTGTTATATTGCATCGAGCCCTCCGGTCACCCTTATAGGGATGATACCGGGGTGGTCAGATGTCTTCACCGTTAGCAAAGAGGGGAACACTTATAGCTGGGGGTTTCCTCCAGATTTGCTTTTCTAACTATGGAAGTAAAGCTCTGGGCAGCTAAACTCTGGCGCTCACGTTCCCTGCCCGGGAGATTACGCTCAAAGCAAAGCTGTATCAAAAGCCAGGCGAGTCAACGCAAGTGAGTTCCAGCCTTGGTTTTTGTTCATCTTTAGTGTGGTTCGCAGATGGGAAAAAAATACCAATAGGAGAATAATATACCTTCGCGGGGGGCGGGGGACGGATTTCTCCCAGAAATGCTTCTTCCGCCTGTATTAGCGGCCCGCGGATGTTAGAGAATTAGGTGGGCCCAGTGTTAGAGCAGCCCCTCAGGAGGCCTCACACACCACCACCAACCTCCCTGGGCTCCCACCTGTCCCCTTAAATCGTGGCTCCCCCACCCCCTAACCAGGGGAAGCGCCAAGTTTGCCTGGGTACGGGGCAGGGTGGCGCCTTACGCAAATGGTGCGCGCAGCGCAGGTGGAAGGTGTCGCAGCCGTGCACATGGTGGTACAGGGTCTTCTCAATCAGGTCCTGAGGTTCGTACCCCGTCAGCTCCGCCACCCTGAGGAGAGCAATCCCTGTAGGATGAGTGCAGGTGGGGGTGCAGGGATACCCCTCAAAACACACCCTCGACAGCCCTCTGAGACCTAGCTGTCCGCCCTCACTTTCCAGGGACGGTTCAGTCGCCTCATCTGCAAAATGGGCTCATAGGATAAACGGAAAGCTTTCAGTCACTAAGCAGGGCCGCCCTCAGGCTAAGGGAAGCCCTTTCCGGCCCTGCCCACCCACCTGGAGTCCAGAAAGATGAGCTTCATGTCCAGGCTGGCGCGAAACATAAACATATTGCTGTGTAGCTTGATCTCCGTGACGGCGCTGGGAGGCAGCGAGTGGCCCACGGCCACCAGGCCCACGTTTTGGTAGCAGCCATCGAAGGGGGACATGTCCAGGCTGTACTGGCGGATCTTCAAGTAGCCGCTGCAGTGGATGACCTGAGGCAGAGGGAGAGGGAAGGAGACTCAGCCACAGTGAGGAAGAGCCCCCAAAAGGTGAAGAAGGGGCTGAAACATGTTGAAACTCGACTCAGCCATAAACGCTGTGCTGACCACGCCCATGCACTAAGGAATCCAGTTATTGGTGCTCTAAGATGTCTTAAGAAAGTGACTGCACAGCCACACTGAACTCACCTGGGAGCTCATAAAAAATGTAGAGGCCTGGCCCCACCAACCCTAACGCATCCGAATAGCGAAGTAGGGCCCTGACACCTGCTAATGACGTTCAACGACATTCAAAGTGAGACCCATAGCTTCGAACTAAAGCTCTGGTTTCTAACCTCTTATGTAACGCTACGCATAAACTCTTAGGGATCCACCAAAGTTACCCGCCCCTTCAGAGGCCTTACGAACCCTTAAGGCCCATCTCTACGGGTCACAAGTTCATAGCCACCGCGGCCATCCAATATTGGCACCCAGTTAGACTTTGTCTTTAAGCATAGTCCCCAGGTGTTCACAAAGTTCTGTGGCCCTCGTGGAGAGTCCTGGCCTGCGGCTCCTCGACGCAAGCTGGGGGCGCCCTCGCGGGTAGTCCTATGGGTGGGGACATTCCTCCCACCCGCACGCGCCTCGCTTCTTGCCGCCTCTGACTCCACCCGGAGCGAATCTTCCAGCCACGCACCTTGTAGCCGCCACAGGTGAGGCCGGCGTTACGCTTGGCCAAGACGCACTTCATTCTCAGGAAGAAGGAGCGCTCGATCTCATACTCTGGGAGAGAGGAATGGAGGGAAGCTCAGGACGTGTGATACCGGCGGCGTGGGACGGCAAGCGTCTCTGCCACGACTAATTGGGGAAAAATCACAAGCGGACCGCGATGGGCCTGAGCGTCGCAGGCACATGTCTACCTTACCCTGCACGAAGTGAGAGTGGTAGGGCTGATGGGCGGTGAGCACCGCCGTCATCTCGTCGTGGTCTGCCGGGTGAATGTATTCATAAATGCTGTTTCCGGTCAGCTCTACCTGTAAAGAGGAGGATGTCGCCGCCCCCGTGGCGGTGGAATGCCCGGTGAAGGGACTGAAAGATTAGGCCAGGGGAGCTGCAGGACCATGAGGACAGCAGCCAGAATTCTGGATTCGGCCCTGAGTTCTAATGCCAGCTCTGCTTCTTGCTACCTATTGCAGCCTATCTAAGATTCAGCTTCCTTGTCTATATAATAATAAAAATAGCAGTAACAATGATGATGATAATAATAGCAGTAATAGTAGTAGTAGCAACAGCAGCAGCAGCACCCCGGCAAAGTTCTGATAAAGATATCATGAAATAAGTATGTAACCTCCTCTCATGTTTTCTGGCTTACCACAGGGACTCAAAAAATTAGCCATTGTTTGGGCCTAGGGTGGAAGGTAAAGGAGAAGGGAAGTGGAGAAATGGAGAGACTCAGACCCATTTAAGAGTCTTCCTGCCAGCTGTGAGATGTGCAGCTCCAGGTTTAGAGAAGTACACCCAATCCCCAACCCACTCGCTACCCCTGCTCCCAGCTCTGGCTGTAAACACTGCAGGTGGGATATGTGAACCACTCACCTACCTGAGAAAGACCCAAGTGGACTGAGGCTGTCTCTGAGATGTACATGATCTTCCCATCTGGGGCTACCACGAAGATGAAGCCATCCAAGGTCTGGGGAGGCAGAAACAGAGAGAATAGAGAGCCCTCTGGCCCATCTGGAGAAATGGGAGCAGGAGGACAGAAGTTAGTGACTCTCAGCCCAAAGTGTAGAGAGATGGAGTAGAGCAGGTCTGGCAGGAAACAGGGCATAGAAAACTAGCCACATGAACCCTTTTTGTTCATTCTAAATTTGTAAACATCTGGGGCATGCAGCCCAATGGGAAAGATCCAGAGTAATTGGTGGACAAGGCTAATGCCCTGTAAGACTCAGGATCCACTGAAATGAACAAAGAAAATACATCCATAACACACACACACACTGTCTCTGTCTCTCTCTCTCTCTCTCACACACACACACACACACACACACACACAGTTCTGGGGCGGGGGGAATCACAGCCTACATATTCTATAATGAGTAATAGCAGGGTTTGGGTGGGTCAATATGGAAGGGCTGGCAGTCTAAAGTTTGTAGGCAGAAGAAAGCTGGCCAGTGACTCTGGAAAGAGTCCAAGAGAGGCGGCGTTTAGGAGATGAGAGGTTTAACAAGGAGCAAGTCCATAGAGTAGTGCCATAGGGTGTATGTGTGTGTAAGTTTACACTGATACATCAAACTGACAGGCTCTCCATGAAGGAAAGTCTTAAGATTTTCATGGTCTCTATCTTTGTGAATAAGGCCTTAGTCCAGGCAGAGACAAGATGAGTCAGACCCTGCTCTCAAGGAGCAGGAAGTCCATCAGGGGCAACTGGCCTGAAGACAGATATAATGACGACACAGCTGAACAGACAATGCTGAATAGGCAGGCAGCCCAGAGCCTGAGTGACCAGAGGCCTGGGGGACAATCAGGCCTTAGAGGAGCTGATGTTTGAGCAGAACCTTGAACAGAAGCTTGGACTGGAGAAGAGAGAAAGAGCATTCTAGGCAGAAGGAATGAAGGGGCAAAGTCTGCTGGGTCTGGGGATAGGACCAACCTAGTGTATTCTGAGGTGATGAATTTGGTGAACCAGAGACGGCAAAGGAGCTACACCTGCAATAGATTTTGGAGCTTGAAATGTCAACTTGAGAAACCCAGAGTTGCTCTGTAAGCACTAGAGGTCTAACAGAGGTTTCTAAGCAGAAGAATAGCATGCTTAGATGTGGCATTTGTTTAATTGTATTTTGTTTGGCAGAATGAAGACAGTGATCTGAAGAGGAAGTGGAGGGAAAGAGGAGATCAGAGAAGGCAGCTGCAGCAGAGATGGTCAAGCCTGAAATGGGGCAGTCAGAAGGGGAATATAGAAAGGCGAGAATCTAATTCAAAGATGTTTCTGGATATGGACTTCATTGGTGGCAGAGAGAGGTTTACTTCAAGGTTTCAGTGAAGGCACTAAGCAGAAGGTGGCATCAATAACCAAGATTTAGTGAGATTTTGTATGAGTAGAATTCTAGGGGAGGGAGATAATGCATCCTTGTTTTGGAGATGCTAAACTTCAAGTGTATGCAGATTTCCATTTAGATGTGTCCAGTTTGCAGTAGGAAACAAAAATCTGGAGTTCAGGAGGAGAATCTAGACTAGAGAAACCAGTTGTTTTCATGTGGAGAAAGGAGTTGAGAGGCTGGTGTTGGGTGAGATTACCTGGGTGGCCTTGAAGCTGTGACAGGAGAAATAGAGCTAAACCCTTGGGGAAATTACAGAATTTGCAGGCCAACCAGTGGCGGCGAAATCAAAAAGGAGCAGGGAGAAAGAGAGAGAAGAATCTGGGAAATAGTGCTATTTTAGAAACTGAGGAAAGGAGACAATGTTAAATAATCAGTATCACCTCCTTCAGGTCTTAGTCCGAATGTCACCTTCTCAGTGAGGCCCTCTACAACCATATCTTATTTTAAAAGGCACTACTCTTTCTTCCTCTCCTCTTTATTTTTCTCCATGGCACCTATACCACTTGGTACACTACACAGTGTACCTATGTGGGCTTGTAAAACTGCTCTCCTTAGAATGTGAACTCCATGAGAGCAGGGCTTTCAGTCTGGCCTGCAACTGCCCCCCCTAAATTTGTGGAATGAGCGAGCTCTGTTAGGATAAGAGATGAGCATCTAATTCAAAATGTGGTGAAGCCAGTGAAGAGCATGATGGGTGGGAGAGATGTCAAACTGCAGGGATGTGGGAGTGAATGGGGGGGGGGGCATTGAAATTGGGAATGTAAGTCAGTCCTGCCAGAAATGTGGGGTGAAGAAGAGGAAATAAATTGGCAAGAGCTAGAAAGTGTCAAGGACAGTTTGGATTTTGTTTTCTTGTTTATGTTTCTGAGGAAAATTAGTTGGGAATATGAAAATATTGGGGGAAGAACATAGAGAAATCTGATAGAAGACGTCTAAGAGTTAAGTGCCTTTCTAGATAAATTCAAAGGTGTGAAGGCCAGGTCAGTGAGAGAATGCTTGCCCAAGCCCTTTCTTTGTCCCACAAAACTAAAATCTCCTTGGTGTCTTGGAAGGAGAAAGGTATAGGGTAGTGGTAGGAAAAGGAGCTCCTGTCAAGAGATGCTACCCATGCCAGCCCACAGGGAAAACTTGCTTAGTTTCCCCAAATGCTGCTTAGGTTCAAGGCCCCTGGGGGAAGTAGCTCCCAGTGGGCTTGAATAATAATAATGATGATGTTGCAGGGTTGGGACAAATGCAAAATCTAAAAATGCCACTGGGGTTTTGCAATTTAAAATATTTGTTCTGTGACTTAAGTAGGCAAAGAGCAATTTAAAACTGTGAGCATTACAAACCACAAGGTAATGGGAGCCTAGCATTGGTTAGACTCATTATCTGGTGGTGTGTATGTGCTTAAGCAAAGTCCTGCACGCAGCCTGGGCTGGCTTGAAATGAAGGGGAATAGGAAGAAAAGAGGGAACCTGGGCACTACAGGGAGATAAAACCAGTTGCAGATGTAGCTGAATTGGAAAGGTGTGGGCTTAAAGCACTGAGAGAAAAAACAGATTCCTGTTATTTCCTTTGGAAATTCTTCGATTCGGATGGTTCTGTGACCTTGCCTCTTCTGCCTGATCTGGGGTGTTCCAGTTCCCTCAGCCCGATGGAGACAAATGGTGCCCCCTCCCTCGGTTAGGATGCTCTGATGGGGCCTCGTTGGGCTACCTTCCAAACCCAACTTCTCACTTGTCTACTTTGCCTCCCTCTCAACCTCTTGAGGTATCATCTGCAAAAGCTAAAATTTTACTTTGCAGCAGCTATTGGGCTCTGAGAGGGCCCCGTGCAATCCAGATCCCTGTTTTTTGTTTTGTTTCGTTTTTGTTTGTTCGGTTTTATTTTGTTTTTCTGAGAAACTAAAAGCCCAACTCAGGGCCAGACACTCAGACCCTCAAAGCTTATGTGCCGCCGGAAGACCTGCACCTGTACCTGGAGCAGATGGGAGCCCAGTTCTCGGCCAACGTTGTCCAGGGGGCTGGTCCGACTCGAGTGGCCCCACGCCTCGCCAAGCCCTGTGGAGACACAGAAACATCCTGTAGCCACTGAACCCGGACCTGGCAGGCAGTTTGGGACCAAGTCCCGCGACTGTATTACCGAGCGAACACCAGCCTTTTGACTGGATACCATACGGGATCCCTCTCAATGTGGACAGCGGAAGATGGGAGAGTGTACATTTCAGTCCGTCCTCTCAGTTTCTCAGCAGAGGTTAGATTTCGTCTTCTAAATTAGACCTGGTTTCTCAGGGAGAGCTAGGCCCAGGCCAAGGGCCCCCTGGCAGGACTCCAAGTGGCCCAGGTTCGGAAAAAGCCTCCAACACTGCACCCCACCGATAACTTTCGTGTAGGTTCACTAGTGTGTTTGCGGGGGTAAGGGCACTCTGCTTCTCGCTCAAAGTTTTCATCGTCATCCTTTTGCCGGGGCCGAGCTTGTCCCAACACCCAGCGAAAGCCACTGCCAGCCCACAGCGACCTGAGACAACCGGCCAGGTCCAACCGGTCCCTGGGAGGGCTTTCTGATTGGCTGCGGGGCTTCTAGCCACTCTCCTCCCCTTGGCCTCTGGCTTTAATTCCCTTCGGAAAAATTAGTTCCCTGGCGGATGATTTCCAGCCTGAAGTCTACCAGCATCACTGATCAACCCATCTTCCTATTCCTTTCCCCTCCTAGCCCTCTGCCTTACACACAACTCATGCCCCCTACCCACCCCCCTACCACTAAAACCGGCATGGGCTTTTTCTGAAGTCAGTTACTTTGGGGTGCTAACAACCTTTTTGTAGTATTTTCGTTCTCTTCTCGAATTGAGACTCATTCAACTTTTCTACGTTCCGGGCACTGTATTCTATTAACAAAGACCATCTCTTTCTCTCCTTGGTGTTTCCCCGTTAAGATCCTTGGAGTCTTTGCTGCAAACTTTCTCTGGTGATGCCTAAAAAAATAAAACGCTCAGGACTCTTGTGGCCGATTTTTAAAAATTTAATATGGAGTATGCTAGAGTACCCTTTTGTGGAAAGAAAAAAAAAAGGCAAAAAAAAAAAAAAAACTTTTGAAGGCCTGTGTTAAGCTATTTATGGGTGTTATCTTTTTAATAGTGCTGCTGCTAAAATTATTTTAACTAGGTAGTTACATCCTTTTATTCTTACACCATTAAACAAAGTTTAACATGACCTCCCACACCCTACCCCTCAGAAAGGTGATTTACTGCGTTAAGGAGCAAATCACCAAGAAGTACACAATGATGAACACTGGCCTTGTAATATGAGGTTGGGGGCAGATCTTTCAAAATAAAACATGGAGTTGGATTTTTAAAAGGTGTTGGCTAGGAGCTGCTTCCTAAGCAAGCGATCAAAGCCTTGGTAATGAGGAACCGTGAGCGCCCCTTAAACTCAAATCCGGTCTTTCTGGGTGTTTGCACATCTAAATAAATCTAACGATTTCCCCACCACTCTGCAAACACTGATGCTCCCCGCCCGCACTCGGGACTCCTCTACCTCTCTGGCTCCCGGTCAACTCCTCCCGACTCTAGCCCGCCCCAGTTTTCCTCCCCGGAGTGACTCCACTGCCCTGGTCCCTGGGGTCCTCCTGGACCGTTCTGGGAGGGCCCCCGCCACAGCCACCTGTACACACCCCTTCGCCTTTTCACATTTATCGCTCTTCCCGTTTCAGCCAACCTATTCTTCGTTTCTATCACGACCTGCTCTTTTCTTTTTAAATCCCGGCTCAGACATACCCACTCAGAAGGAGTGGCAGGAGGGATTGGCTGCGGAGGCCACACGGGGGAAAGGAGAAAGGACCCTGTCGGGAAAGCCGAGGACGCCGGCGACCCTGGCCCTTGGGCTCTCTGGGGCCTACGGAGGCCTTAAACCCCAAAGCTTGGCGGGGACTAAGGGCCGGGGCACTCGGGCGAGCCCACAGCGGGCGGAGACTGCGCTGTGACTGGGAGCAGGTCTCGCGCGGCTCCCGGAAGGGTACGAAGCCTGCGCTGAAGGCCAACAAAACGTCTTCAAACTAACGTTTTGAGGGTCTCCCAGAGCGGCTGTAAGATACCCGAAGCGGCCTCCCAACCAGAATGATCTGAAAATCCCCTCAGGCTGGGCTCGGGATAAATACTCGTTCTGAACTCCCGGTGCCAGCCTAGGCTGTTTGTTGTTTCGGGTTTCGGCCTCATTAGTATGCGCCTACAAGGGAAAATAAGACTTCCCCACTGGTTAATAAACAACCCGTCCGGCACAGGTTAACAGGAGCCTTCTTCCCCTCTCCTGCCCCACCCCCGCCACCTTTTAAGGAACCTTTTGCTTTCCCGGAGGTTTGCCTTCTCTTTCTGTTACCCGTAGAAATCTCACGATTGTGTCTGGGTTAATGTTTTATAAAGGACTGGCTACTCTCGTCTACCTGCCGGGCTTTCCCGATCTAATATCGAGGGAACCTCCCCAAGTCCCAGTAAGGGGTCCCCCCTCCCTAAAGTCTCGAAGTGGGGTAGAGACCTCCTCCGTGGACCCCCTCGCCTCCTGCCTTCGTTGACGCGCTCTGGCAAACCCAATTTCAGTTGGCGAGGGGGTAAGCTGAGATTTCGTTTCTGCACTTGACCTACCGCAGAAAATTCGCAAATCCTTTGATTGTCTGTTTAAAATGAGGAGGAAACCAGCTCCCTTTGCGGCGGGATTACAGTGGGAACAAGATCTAAAGATTCTCTTGTAATTCGGTGAGGCCGAGGGAACGGGGTTTTGCAAAGGAGAAAAGGAGCTCTGTGAGGGAGGCGATAACTAAATCGGGTTTTAGACAAAAGGATTTTCCTCAGCTAAAGTGGCCGAAGACAAAGGAAAACAGAATCTATTTTGGAAGATTTCCAAGATATGCCACATTAACCTTAGCTGATAAATTTTGCTTCTCCCAGGCCCCCCTCTTCCCTTAAAGTCTGGTTTATCATATTTACATAAGTAGCATTAGAAGGGATGTATCTATTATGGATCTAAAGGGCTAGCTCACATTTCCTGTCAAACCCAGGCAAGTTTCACTGTTGCTTTACCCTCCGTTCTCGGTTGAGCCATTTCCATTTAAATACCCCCTGACCCAAGGATTACCTCAATGGACTGACTGCACGGGTTTTGTAATTTCCTGAAAATGAGATTTCGATTTATAAAACAAGAAACCAATTAGTAACCAAATGAGGCGAAGTAGATCCACTAAAATTGACCTAATCCCACAGGCACCATTTAGGCCCGTTCTTGGCGAATGAATGATGAGCCCCAGTCTAGCGTGAGCTCAAAGCATCATCCAGCTGTGTTATTGCAAGCAGCAAAAATAAATTGATAGAGCTTTTCCTTCGGAATGAATTTCATACCCTTGACAAAATATAGATTACAGACCCGGCATCATCACCGCCTTCACTCAGACAGGAAAAGGAGGAAGAGAAGAGTGTGTTCTGTTTTTTTTTAAATTTTTCTTTATTTTAATAAATAAACGCTACATCTCAATAGAAATGTATCCTCCTTGCAGTCCTTCCCGGGAACCTTCACCTCCTCAACTAATTGAGGTGCATTTTAGGCAGTGGAGGAGGGTGGACGGAGGCGCTGTTTCATGACCTGACCACGACTTGGTGACTGAGGAGGGGAAAGCCCTCCGAGGCTGAGGCCACTGCGGGTCCTGAACAACTTGTCTCAACCAACTGAGTGTCCCTTGAGAGTGTGTAGGAGAGTCTCGTCCGGGGGTGGGGGGTAATCCTGAAAACCCCAAATCCCATGTATCCTTCCGGGCCTGCGCATCGTCGCTAAATGAGTACTGTCCAAGTCTTCCCCGGGCTGAGGCGTTGAGTGGCCTTTGTGTTTAGCCTCCGGGCGCCTCCGCGGCCGGGCTCTTTGGAGAAAAAAAGTGACTACAAATGGGTGCTACCAGCCCGAACCAAGCTCCTGGAGCAGTCACTGGCAGGAGGCCGCTTCACGAACCAAGGCGCACCCGACCCCACCTCTGGCGCTGCTGCCCTCCTCTGCCTGCGGCCCTCTACGGCCAAGGGGCCTGTGTGGTTGACCTGAGGGCATCGGCTAGCGCGCCGGGCCAGGTCTTGTTGCACGCAGCAGCCTGGACCCCACAGTGTGTGCCTGCACTCGGCAGTGCCCTGATCTCTCCTGCCTGCCGATCCCGGTTCAGAGACACCGCGGCCGAGCCCAGGGAATCCACTAATGTTACTGTAAATGTGGGGTGGAGGCCTAAGGTCACAGCGCTGACTCTCTCTCTCTCTGTCTCTCTCTCTCTCTCTCTCTCTCTCTCTCTCTCTCTCTCTCTCTGCGCCTTCGCGGAGCTCCAGCCCCGGAATTTGGGCTTCCCATAGGGATAGAGCCTGCGGGCCAACCTGACTGCCCGAATTGGAGTCAGCCGCCAAAAGACTGCAGAAACCCAAGGAGGGCGGGGTTCGGCCAGACTAAAACTGGGGGCGAAATTCATGCAGGGTTCAGGAGACAGTCCTGCGTGACGGCCGAAAAACGTCAATCGATGTCACCCTGGGACTCCGTGTCTTCGAATGCGGCCCAGCTTTGGCGATGCCACCTCTCTAGAGGCCCGCGCTGGCGTGGCCAAGCCGAAAGTCGCAGGCGAATCCACTTCGGTTCTACTTGGCGCAGGGACTCGGACGATAGCACCTAACCCGCCTTCCCGGGAACTGCCCAAACAGACTGGATCTGGACCTAAGATTTAGACGACTGCTTGCCCTTCGGGGGCAGTGGCCGGGACGGCATGAGGGGCTGCTGCACACACCTGCTCCAGCGGGACCTCTGATCCGGGCAGGGGGTGGCACCTGGGCCGGCCTGGGGAGTGAGGAGACTGTGCTGAGACCACGAGGTAGGCCCTTGGCTGGGGCCACCGCAGACAGAGGATGGGACACACCGCGCAGACCTGGCTGACTGCGTGCTTTGGACGGTGCGGGAGGCGCGACGGGGGCCTGGACCTAATTGTCCCCTGTCGGCCCTGAGCGGCCCTGAGCCGCGAGGCCGAGTGACAAGGCGCAGGAACCGCCTATTGGTGGGGCTGCCTGCGGAAGGAAGTTTACTCTGCCGTGGACACTGTTTTAGCACTTTCAGAGTAGCAGGACCATCCCTAAATAATTGAGGTTCCCCTTCCTCCACACAAAATTTTAAAATTTCACGGATCAGAGACTGGCAATGGGTGGCCCATTAAAATCATTAGATGTTAGCAAAGTACAAGCCTCATTTTCCTGAGAAATACCTGGTGGTACGGAGAAATGCGGTGAGAATCTATGGGCTCTCATTCTGTGTCCACATTTGGGTCTGTAAAAGCTGGAAGATGCCAACATTTCTTAGAACTGGACAACAACTCCCCTAGAAATTAGATTTGTCCTTTAGAAATTCAGCCCTGTTTTATCATTAGATGAGTGATTGCACCCTGCTTGAAAGCATCCCTCAATAGCTTATAATACCTGTTTTTGTTGTTATTGTTTTTATTAGTGATCCCTCCCTTAAAAGAAAAAAGTATCCTTTTTTATTGATCTGATCTACAATTTCTAGCACATAAATCCGCCTTGCAAATGCTCTGCACGGAGTTTAGTTCTGCACTCCACATTTTAAGTCAACATCAAAACTGGAATTAAACACAGAAAACCAGCACGGAGCGTAAACTGTGCTTAAAGGCCTTTAAATGAGAAAAACTTCTGTAAGAAAATAAACATGGAAACCTAATGCTCAATCATTTCCCCAAGAAGCAAGAAAAACAGCCTTAAATCACCGACCCACGTGGGAAATGGGGCCTCCTTTTCTTTTTCAGTTCTCTGTCTCAAAATATATATATATATATATTTATTTTTTTTTTTTTTTTTTTTTTTTTTTTTTTTTTTTTTTTTTTTTTTTTTTTTTTTTTTTTTTTTTTTTTTTTTTTTTTTTTTTTTTTTTTTTTTTTTTTTTTTTTTTTTTTTTTTTTTTTTTTTTTTTTTTTTTTTTATATATATATATATATATATTTATATATATATATAAAACGCCATTAAGAATTTCAATCTTCAGGTGAAAATTATAGAAACCGTCTGCGGAAGTTTGTTTAATCACCCTTGTCTGTTGTAGAGACGATCTTTCCTGAGTAGTTACTAATTTCAACTCTCTGATTATTTTTATTTTTCCAAGACATCTTGTCAATGAAATGGCAATGTGATGTTACCAAGATTTTGAATAGCTATAGATTAGAAAATATATCTGATCCTTTCAAAGTTTATTATGAAAGCCCCTACACACCCAGCCAAAACTGCTTTATAGCTGGATAACAAATATATATCTCTTTGTAGTTGAATTTGTCGTATTTTGCACACAAATGAAGTCATGCTATTTTTTAGATCCTGTCCCTCTGGCTTTGATAATACCAAAAATTGGTACATTTCCATGTGCCTCGATTTTTTCTTCACAAGGCTACTTTGGAATATAATATGTCACTAATTGGGAGATATGAAGTGTTAGTGATTTCTCAGTTATCTTTCCTAATTTTCTTTTTCTCTGAAATCTCCAACCTAATGCTTTATTCTTAATTATTTCAGGTACCCATATCCCATTTCTCTGTTCTCCCACTCCCGCATTTTCACCTAAACAGTTTAACTTCATCTACTCAGGCAAATAAAAGCTGAAACTTGCCCCCAGACACGGAAGCTACTAGACTTGGGAGGAAAACAAAAAAGTGTATTCGGCAAATGAAAAGGGAAGGGAATTAGCTGTATTTAAGGTGTATTTAAGGATATTTATTCTTTCAAATATAATTATGAAATGATTTTTGTTAATTTAACTTATAGACTTTTGGCATTACAGTGTATTAGCGATGAAATAGTATATGAACAAAACTGAAGTTTTACAGCAGTTTTATACCTACAGCTATGTCACCAGATTAATAATTATTTAGATTATATAACTTACAAAATTCATATATTACCTGTGATAAGACATTTATACCTATCTTAATCTCATCCTTAAAATTCTGTTGAGGACCTACTATGTACTAGGATGGCTTCAAGATAGATGTAAAGATGAATTTCATCTTCCAACAAATTCCATTTAACACCACTAGAAAAGATTACATCCATATAAAGTGATCAGTTACCCCAACTGCCTTGGACCCCAATCTTGTCCACTCTCTGCCTTCAGTGAACACTGAACCTAAATTTGGCACCCCCTACAGGTTGTGCCTGGTCTTGCGATTGTGACTATTATTGCTTTGAAAGCTGTTGTGTTGTTGTTGTTGTTGTTGTTGTTTAATATTCTCAAGAGCTGTGTTTGGGTTTTGGGTTTTTGAAGTTTGTCCACCGTCAAAATTAAAACCTCATCCCTAGAAGCCAGCTGTTCTGATGACCCTGTCTAGCTCGCTGGGTGGAAGCTGAGGGTGAGTTATGAGCTCAACAGTAGCTGGAGAAACAAATGATGTGCCCAGAGTTCACACATCGTCCACCTCCTCCACCCCATAAACTCACACTCACCCACAGAAGGGAGAGAAAGGAGGGGTCCGGGGCTGGGGGCGGGGGAAGGTGAGGGGGCTGCAGAAAGCACAGTGGCTGTTAAAGTAGCCAGAGGGGACCATCCTGGCCACCAAGAGGACTCCAGCGGAAGCCTTCATTGGCGCTCTCTTTAAAAATAACGAGAGGTTGGCTGTGAGAGTTTACTTTTTGTTCCTATTTATTTATAACGCGACTTACAATGTGTAGAGTTAGCACTTAATTAAGCAAAAAGGCTTGCTGTTTTAAAAACAAAAACACGAACAACAGCAGAAAACAGCCCGATATCCTCCCAGCTGCGCCTGCCCCGGGTCTGCACCAAGCCGACTAGCGTCCCTGGCCGGGCGACTCCCCGGGCTCTCCCGGCCGGCTCGGTGCCCGCCCCAGAACGCCGCCTTGCTATTCTCCTCCCGCGATTACTCGCAGCCCCACAAGCAGCACCATATGCTGCTTCTGATCAAACAGCGAGCGACATCGGCACAGATAATTGACGAGACCGGCTGGAAATCACGCAGAAAGGGAGCCCACTGAGACCGCAGGGGCTGACAAATCACTGCTAATAATCCTGTTAGGAACAGTGCGGCCAGCGGAGTTCGCAATAGCTTCATTTTTATAAAGTAGGCGCTGACAGTATAAAAGACAACAACGAGATCTCTTTTTTAAATAGAAGGCAGTGTGGTATAATGGTAATTATCCCATCAACAATTCATAGTACAGTGTGAATGGGAAGTGTGGTTTTGGGTATATAAGTTCCCCTTCTTCTTCTTTTTCTTCTTCTTTTTAAATTATTTATTTATTTATTTATTTATTTATTTATTCATTTACTTTTCAGGTACTTTAGACTTTCATTTCTTTTTTCCCCGCGGTTTCCAGGGTCAGAGAAGAACTGTTCAAGGAACTGCTTTAGGAGGGAACGACTAAAACATCACTTGTAGTTTGAAGGTAGAACTGAACTATAATTTGAAAGTTTTCCTTTGGTTTTGAGCATGTTTTGCAGGCTTTTTGACTTAGATAATAACTTTAATGTCATGATCAAGCAAAGTGAAACTGCAAACCCAATAATGACTGTTTCCTGCCCATCCATTCATTTAATGGAAAACCACAAACCCCAAACATCTAAAATCAACAACAGCAAACACCTCCAGGGGTCAAATCAGAAGTTCTCATTTGTAAATAAACAGAATTCTTTCTTTTGGATTTTTGTTTGCTTGTTTAGTAATCCCTCTTTTACATTTCTGAATCCCCTTCTCCCAGCAAAGACATATCCAATATATATTTTAAAAAATATGTTTGTATTATTTGAATGCAAGTAAAGGAAAAGATGGGCAAATGGAAAAGTGTCCTTTTCTAATAAGTATAAATGGTTTTATACAGGACACTGTTCTATGAAAGCTGCACTGTCCTCACACAGTGAATCTTGATAATCTAAATACGAGTTTTAAACCATGTGAACAGCTCAGCTATTCTAACTTCTAGGCCTTATTAGACAATTTTCTCAGAATCCATTTGCCAACCTGACACCCAGAAGATATTTTCTAAGCGGGCGAGCCATCTTAATTCAATCTTATGTATTTTAGGACTAGCCTATTATCTTACAGATAACACCAAGCCCACAGTTGCAAATCATCAAGCTCCAGAGTTATTCCAGAATCTGCGAATGTCTTGAAAACTCAGAATAAATTTGCTTAGAATTTATTTAAGAACCTGAGTAAATCCAGGCATACTTGTTCACAAATATGCATGTTACCCATTTGCAAAATTTTAGACATATAGAGAAATTATTATCTGGCATATCTAGCTCCAGGTACATGGGTCTATCTACACCTGGCAAAAAATACAGAATTTGGCAGTGCTCTGGCTTTTTACTGGACAAAATTCTAACAAGAGGAGTAAAAAAGAAAGTCATGTTTGGATTAGTAGTACTTTCAATTGAGCCTAGTCTCTGAAGTGTTGACAAAAGGACTGTTGGGCTGCTTCCCAACCAAACATATCTGATGGACTGAAGAGAAAGTATTGATGGGGAAGTAGAGGGAGCCTCGAAAAAGCGACAGAAATTCTGAGTTCAGTGAGGACCTTAGTGAAGTAGCTGAGCTAAACTTCCCTTTGCAGAATATATATGTAAATATGTATGCATTTCTCTGGTCACTGGTTTCGGCTCATTGCCTGGCAAATCCCCTGCCCCTTCTGCATTTGAAATTCCATCTGGTCAAAGTCACTTACCTTCTGGGAACACGACTCTCATTTTGAGATAGCTGGTCGTGAGTCTGATTATGGATGCTTTGTCCAGCTGCGAGGTGATAGCCGAAGGCAAAGGCAGTAATTTAGCCAGTTCATAAAATTCACTGTTTTCCTTCTCCCTCCTAGTCCGGGCAGCATTTTTGGACTTTTCTTTCATTGTGTCTTGTTCCCCCTTTCTTCTTACAATGTAAACTCCGCAGATTCATCCAAAACAAAAAATAAACTTTCAATTAGAGATCATATTTGGCAAAAACATAAAACATACTTTGAATAAAGAGGCTGAAGTATTTGCACCAAGAACAGTGTATTAATGGCAGTAAAAGACCAGCGGGGGTGAACGGAAAATATTTTCTTTGAAAATGCGGGATGCAGTATAGGAAAGTTGCTGATCCACGGAATTTGGGCAATCCTGGGGGTCCTCGGGGTATCAAATGCCGGTGGGACCCCTGAGGAGCCAGCCTTTTCTTTTACTCCGAGCTGCGAACGCTGGTCCTCGGAAAATCGACATAATAATCCCCGACGTTTGTTCTTCAGTCTCGCGGCATTTAAGGTATCTCCGAGCCCCTTTGGGAAGAGCAGGAACTCCAGACAACTCTTTCAAGGCCCTGTGAAGACAACAACATCAGAGCATAAGAGATCCGCGGCTCCACAACCACTCACACACTTGTCCCAATTCCAAAAACACGGCCGGAAAGGGACTCAGCGTGCCTAGCCAGGCGTTTTGGGTTTGTTTTTAAAGAACCGGATAAATCGGCAGCGAGACGGCCCCCTGCAAATAATGCTGGCATTCCCTGACCCATGCCAGCCACATCCTCCAGACCCCTGGGAAGTTGCCCAAACAACAAAATGCATATTTTTGAAGACCCGCAAGAGACTTTCCGCTGCAGGTCCCCGAGCCCGCGCCCAGGTTGGGTGCATGTCCCATGAAAGCAGGTTTCTACAATTCAGAATTCCTCCACGGCGCGGCGGGGGCCTTTCAGCTCCCGACCTTGGCAGATGTGGACCTTGGCTACCTCTTTAACTTGGGCCTTAAGTCTGAGGGATTCCTCAAAAAGTGACACTTACACACCAAGTCCCTCGGGACTCCCAAGGCGACCCAGCGCTCTGGCTGCCCAGCAGGGGCGGCAACAAGCGGGGTCCGGCAGCGCCAGGTTAACAGGTGGCGCGGTCGCGACAGCCCCTCGCAGGCGCCCCGGGGGTGGGAAGCGCCGCGGCCTCTCCCACACCGCCGCGGAGCTCCAGGGTTGCTGGTAGGGCGCGGGATGTCTTCTGCTTCACCTACCTTCAGTCCCCACAGGCGGCAGAGGGTTCGGGGGCGCCCATCTCTTAATTGTACTCATGCCTACCGTCCAACCCAGCGGCTCTGCCGGCCTCTCCGCTTCCCACCGGCAGAGAGGAGCAGAGCATTCCCGGCTCCCTTTTCTGGATCATGAATTGGAGGAGCGGTGCGTGGCAGAAAAAGGAGGATGCAAGCTTTGGGAAGAGTGAGGTGATTTTAGAATCCTGGTCCTCCGTAGTTGCTACGAAGCCAGTTCACTATTATTCCTAATTGGAAGCCGAAAACTGTCCCCCGTAACTTCTTTATAGCTTAAGGGTTTAGCTTCAACTTCACTCCCGGGCCGCCTCTCTCCCGCCCTCCCTCAATGCCACTCAAAACCCTTCTAGCCTCCCATTGGCCTGGCCTGGCCAGGGGCGAGGCGCTCATTGGCCAACAGGGATGAGTGACACGAGTCGGCCCCGCGCCGCCCTCCGCGCGTCCAGGCTCCGGGGTCTGGATCTTACTATCCGCTCCGCCGCTGGGCTCCTAATGAGCCCCGGGTGCGGGGTCGGCGCTGTCCGGTTGCCGCCGCTGCTCGCGGCCTCCTGGGCCTTCCCGACATCGTGTGCGACCCGCGTTCCTCGGGCTGCCTGGGGTCGGGTGGTTAAGCGCTCAGTCCAGCGCGGCGGCCCAGAAGAGCCGGGGACGTCCGGAGGCAGCGGAGGTCGGACCGGCTGGTTAGTTCTACCCGCGGAGGAGGCAGGGTTGGCCCAAAGACCCATCCCGCTGGCAGTCGGGGTCCGACGGCATGCGCGAGGCCGGTTTTGTGCTTTATTTTCTCTTTCTGTGAAACCATGAAGACACGGAATTCATTGCCAGAGGAAATAAATACAATGACTGTCTTTAAATTAATCCCAAAGAAGTGCGCCTTTTTCTAAACGGTTTGGGTTTGGGGGCTGATTTTTTTCACTGTGGAAAGCTCGATCAGGGAGTTTTCCTGTGGGGAGAAGCGAGGGGGACACTAGGGGAACACGTTACATTTCAGGGCAAAATAGAATGATTGATATATAGAGATACATATCACAACAGTCCGTTATCTTAAACATTAGCCAACTCTTTGCCGGGTTTTGTTTCAGGAAACAAAAGTCCAACATGACTATTCCTTACAGAAAGGATACAGTCTGCATGAATGAACTTAACGATGCTCACAGTTCCCTAATAGGAGCTCACAATTCCCTAATAGGAGCTGGTTAAACAAACGCTCACCAGGACTCTCCCTGAGTAATTATCTCTTAGAGACCCTCTAATTTGAAACGCCTTCTCTTTCTCTCATCTGAGAAAACACAACAGATAGCATAGAGAAAAACTCAAATTGTCCCAAAACAATTGTTGTGCTCACCAATCACATCCTACAGACTCGATTCCCGGCTTGGTTTGGGTACTGCCTGTGACCAGATTCGGCTCCCGGAGGTGCGTTTGGGGGGAGTTGTTTCATCTGTCATAAAAATCAGTGAGAACACCAGTGACTGGGCACTCATCCTGTCGTTTGTGGCGCTAATTGCCATTGAGAAAATAAATACTTTGAAGAGGGGTGTGTGCCATTCTGCTGATATTCAGAACAACTTTAAGAGTGTTTGTTCAAAAATACAGACATCTGCCACCTCCTTGCTGCCCGATGGCAGTGAGATCCTCGTAGAAGGACAACAGGAGCTTTCTGGTGGTATTTACACATCTGGGCAACACCTGGCTGGAGGAGGTGAACTTTTTGGATAGAAAGAAAAAGAAAGAAGCACGGAGATTTTGTACGTCTTTCAAAACTGGAATCCGGCTAATGGACTCCAATCCAGGAGGAGTCATTTCCCCAGTGACTGTAGCCACTTACAGACCTGGTTCTGGGCGGCTTTCAACCACCCAGTGATGCACTTTTAACAAACATAGGTAGAAGATAGCGAGAGATGCACTGTGGCTCACTTACACACAAGATTCCAGAAAGATCAGATAAGGTCAAGTTGGCTACTACATGTAAAGTCGGGGGTGGAGAGTGCGTGTGGAGAGGGAAATAAACTTTCTTGACCCTCCTCTCCCCTCCAACCAGGTCAGATATAGCTGCCAGGCAAAGCAATGACACTCAGGGTTAAGAGGAGGTTTTCTATTGACTGTGTTCTAGAGAGGATTTCAGTCAAGTCTGCGGTTACTCTAACCCTATCTCTACTTAAAACAACATGCCAGTTTGGAAGTGCCTCTCAGGGGTCTGAAACCTGTGCCCACAGCAGGAACTTCCGGGGAGTGGGGGGGGGAGGGAGTCAGGTAATGCTGGGTTTCCAGAAGAAGAAATGCAGTAATTTTGCCTTCAGAAGCAAGATGGGCAAAATGAGTAAGGAAGTCTTCACGCTTAAAGCCGACGTCCTGGGGGGCTGGGCGGGCTGTTCCAATGTCCCAGCGAAGCTCAGTTGTCAATGAGACGAGTAGATGTCGTTTAATAAACAAAGTGAATGCACGACCACGAGGTGACGGCCTCTCGCTAAGTCCTCAGCACACAACTGTCTGAGCCGCGTTTACCGAGAGAGTGAATTAGCATGACGACGTAACACCTGTTTTTCTAATCTTTGAACCTAGGTTGGAGCCTGAACGCTGCTCCTTCACTCCCCCGCCCGGGCCCAGGGACCCGGCTTTGCACCCTCCCCGCGACCCTGCCTGCCAATCCCCCATGCGCCCTGTAGCCGGAGGCGTGAACCGTGAACCGGAACCTCAGGTGCCTCCCACGTGTTCTGAGAATTTGCGTTCGCCTCTATCATGGGAAATTTTAAATGAATTTCTTGAAGCTCAGAGACTAATCGTACCATCCGCTTTGCCAATATAAGGAGAAAAGCCCCAGAAAGGAAGAGACGGTCACCGGCGACCCACTATCCCTAAATAGAGATCCTTACAGAGTCTAGGCCGCGACTTCCTTGAGCCAGTGGCCTTAAAACTTAGCCTCTGGCCCTCAGGAATCCAGAGTGCGATCCTGATGTGGGAGAAAACCCATGCGGGGCTGCAAAAAAAGTATCTCCCTCCTTCCCCTACCAAGCAGGGCGAACAGCCCAGTGTGATGGCGACACTGTTCCCCCAAGAGTCCCTGCCACCTCTGGGGCAACCCAGGATGCTGCCCTCATGGAGTCTGCTCTGGACCCCGGAGGCCAGGATGTGCAGGCTTCCGTGAGTCTACCCCAGGGGTTGCCGGGAGCCACTCCGGGTGGATTCGGGAACCAACGCGCCTGTGTGCGCAATGTCCGGCATACCACGAGCACCCGGATAGAAGGGGGAGTGGGCATCTCAGGCGCCTTCTGACCCCTCCCCGCAAAAGGCAAAATCAAGACTAGAGAAGGTGAACTTTCGGTTGTAAAAGAACGAGTGAACGCATAGTGGAATTCCGGTGCAAACCGCTGAACCGGGGTTCAATGCCTCGGCCCCCGACCCTTGCTCTGGCACAGACCTCCACCCTGCCTTCCGATAACTCCTCTAATGACTCTTCTTTGCTCCAGGTTATTTGAGTAACTTATCAAAACTAGAACGATTTCTGTCCACTAGCATTCTCTTTATTATTTTTCTTTTTTTGCAAACTGCTAGGGACGCACACATACACATTTGCATGCTCGCACATCCCACATGCACAGTTGCACAAAGCACACAGACATGGATTTGCTCAATGTCCAAGGTCAGGATGAAGGATATATTTATAATCAAGATACAAAATCTGAAGATGGTCACTCGAACATCTCAGTATGTTATATCCAGATGTTCACTCTATCACTGAAAAGGACAAGTTATCTAGGGACATATTATTGTCTTAGGAAATATTAACATTTCCTACTTCCAAGTATATTAGTTAATGTAATCCTGTCCTAGACTCATTTTATCACCACATTTAGACATTTACATCTCTGTGAGTCGTTATGATGTTAAGGCAGAAACAAAGGCCACTTGTAGCCTTGACCCCAAAGTGTAGAAGGAGCCCCCCAAAATAGGGTCATATTTGCTATGTTAGAAATTATGGTAAATATTACTTGTCTGATCAAGACGTTTTGAAAAGTATATTTTATGTATATAAATATTTAAAAAAACCTTTTTCCGAGGTACTGCTTTTCAGTTGTCTCCCTAAATTGACCCTTGAAATACCCCAAATTCACTTCAGTGGTTACACATTGGAAAAAGAAAAAGAAAAAAAAAAGAAAATCCACCAAGTTGGAAAATGAGATTGGCGAATACAAGTAAGGGTTTCATATAGTTTCTCTAAATATTATGGTTAATTTTTCAGATATTGGAAACCGTGGTCTAATATATAACCTTGAATGGCCGCCGAGAAATAAGTGCTTCTTGAATTGTGCACTACTTTATTTGCAGACATAAATTTTAAGCTTTAAATAATATAATTATTTTAACATATCATTGCTAACTGGAAAGAGGTCTGATTCTGTGCATTCTGAGGATGGGAGCAGGTGGATGCCTGCACTTTCACACTTTTCTTTTCCAGAAATCGAGCGGAGGAAGCTCTGTGTACATAAATTTCAGCAACGCTGAATACAGGCACACAGCTGAGGCGTTCTAACTCTGGAGATGAACACTAGATTGGAAACTCGGGTTGAAAAACACTTTGATTCTTAAATCGGATCGCGAATTTCAGACCAAACTCTGCTTTTGTTATAAGGTGGCTGCATCAGGCCCACGCTCAAGAAACCCAGGCTGGCGGCCGGAGGGACTGGGGGTGGGGAGGCCAGTGGCCTGAAAAAGGGTACGGGACATCAGAATGGGCTGGATCCGGAGAGCAGATACCTATCTTTGTAACTCCAGGTCTCCAACATTAGCCCTTCAGCCCCTCCGGGTTTGAGAACCGTTGGGCTAAGTTTCTAGAGGGTTCTTCCCTTCTCTGAACCCCAACATTCCTTCTAGCCCCTGCGCCAGTGAATCGCGGAATGATGCCCTGCATTCCCTGGGTAGGTAGGTAAGGGATTCTGAGGAGGAGGATCCCTCTAATAGGTAAACAGATGTCTGGCTTCTAGTCTTGGCCGAGCCTCTGGGTCACTTGGGATGGAGGTTGGGGAGGAGGGCGGCTTTTAAATATGAAGTCTAAGGCCCCACCTTGGTTTAGGAATCGGAAATCCCTGTCCGAATCTGGAATTGGCATTCCGTAAGGGTAAGGAAGGCCTCAGGCCACTACGCAGCTCCGAACGCGGGGAAGCAGGAGCAAGGATGAGTTCAGAGCCAGGGTTGCCGGCGCCACCCCGGGCTGCGCAGTTAGGGGTAGTGGACCCACCCGGAGACGCAGCGGCAGTAGCAGCTTAACCCCGTTGGGGGCGCCGCGCCACTGAGGTGGTTGAGTCTCCAAGTCCTGAGCCTCCAATAGCTGCTCCGGCTTTCGCGTCTCAAACACAGGACCCCGGAAAAGTACCACTGTG